AAGAACAAGAAGAAGAACAAGAAGAAGAACAAGAAGAAGAACAATAAGAACAAGAAGAAGCAGAAGCAGCCCAGGCGCTGCGGAGTCAGCTCTTAGCCTACGAAGCGCCAGCGCCCCCAGAAGTCGGGGCGAAGGGTGGTTTCGGGTTTGGGGTTTAGGGTTTAGGGTTTAGGGTTTAGGGTTTAGGGTTTAGGGTTTAGGGTTTGAAGGGATCGTGCAGGGCACCTCATATTAGACTAAGATCTGCTGAGGTTTGTGAGCATGACCCAGAATCAATACTGACATTCCTAGACTCTACATAAACAAATGAGAAAACCCTAAGTTCTGATCCCACCTATCAACCTGCCCTACTGGACTACAGCTAAGTTGACAGTGGGGCCAAGAGTACAGCAACTAGCACGACGAAGTAGGGGGGGGGGGGGGGGGCAGACGGAACCCTCAGCAGCTATCTGGCGATTGAGAGAAAGGTCGTGGTGTAACTTGTGCTCAGAATCTAGAGCTTGTAGAGTCTAGCGCGCCCCCCCCCCCCCCCCACCCCCCCCCCCCCCCCCAATACTTCCTTCCCACGGAAAATAGGCCGCTCTCTACAGCATGGCCCCTTTGCGGGCCCCATACATGATTTCGAGAAAGCCGAAGAAAAACCTTTGGGAGCTAGCCGAACTCACATGCTCGAAAATGGGGGGGGGGGGGGGGGTTTCCGAAATAGCCTATTTCGGGGTATATAAGGGGTAGCTTTTTGGGGGTTCCTTTAAAAGGAGTATATAGTATTTTGGGGTATATAAGGGGTACCCTATGTTCGGAAATACCCACATGAGGTGCCCCACCCACATTTTTAGCTTCTGAGCCTGAGCTATACCCTAAACCCTAAACCCTAAACCCTAAACCCTAAACCCTAAACCCTAAACCCTAAACCCTAAACCCTAAACCCTAAACCCTAAACCCTAAACCCTAAACCCTAAACCCTAAACCCTAAACCTAACCCTAAACCCTAAATCCCAAACCCCAAACCCTAAACCCTAAGCCCTAAACCCTAAACCCTAAACCCTAAACCCTAAACCCTATCTCTCCAAACAAAGAGGCTCCTGGATGCGCAGACCGTTCTGGAGGAAGCGCTGGGTGCCTCCCTCACAAAGCCGGCGGCGGAGGGCTTGAGGGTCCACTTGCATTTACGGTTTTTGGGGTTTTGGGGTTTTGGTTCAGGGTTTAGGGTTTAGTTAGGGTTTGGGGTTTAGGGTTTAGTTAGGGTTTGGGGTTTTGGGGGTTTTTAAGGGTTTTTGGGGTTTTTGGGGGTTGTTGGGGTTTTTGGGGTTTAGGGTTTGGGGTTTAGGGTTAGGGTTTGGGGTTTCGGGTTTAGGGTTTTAGGGTTTAGTTAGGGTTTGGGGTTTGGGGTTTGGGGTTTGGGGTTTAGGGTAGGGCTCCGGGTACCTAGAGTGTCCAGTGTCCACTTGAATTTCGGAACACCCAAAAAAGGCTTAGGGTTTAGGTCAGGTCCATATTCTACTCTGGTACCCTCGTACCCTTTTCGCAGATTACCCCATGTTGTTTCATCCAAAAAGGGACCCCAAAACCCCAGACCTTAAATCCCCCAGGCCCTAAACCCTAACCCCTAAAAGCTCTAAACCCTAAACCCTAAACCCCTAAAAGCTCTAAACCCTGAACGCCTGTTTGAGGTGCCACCTCACCAGAAGCTCTCCAGGCCGCACGTGCCGATATTCTCGCTTTTGGGGACCTTGTGGTTTAGGGTTTGGGGTTTAGGGTTTAGGGTTTAGGGTGTGGGGTTTTGGGTTTAGGGCGGTTTCGTGGCACTCTGCGAGTGTATGCCGAGCACTGCGACTGCACGCCGAGCTGTACGACCTAAGGCTGAAGCCGCAAAACCTGCACCCTAAACTCTTCAGCCCCAGACGCGAAGTCATGCACCCAAAGCAAAGCACCCCAGAGCTCAAGCAAGTAGCTCAAAGCCACCAGCGTCCCTCAAAGGCCCTAAACCCCGAACACCCAAACTCACTACTTTGATTTTGACAACCCTGCCCCAGACCTAGACCCCCAATCTGACTGTGCAGACCCCAAAAGAGGCAGCGGCAGAAGTGGCATCAGCCTTTGCAGCACTTCAAGCAGAGGTCCGATTCCTACGTGGGGTAGCTTTAGGGGGTGTTCTGTAGGGATTTTAAGTGGGCTCATGACAGTCTTTTTTGGTTTTTTTTGAGGGGGGGGTGCTAGTGCTGCGGGTTGTGAGTTTGAAGGGTTGGGGCTGAGTTTAGGTTTCAAGGTTTTTGGCGGTTTGTTTCTTGTAAGGTTTCTTGCTTTCCAAGGGCCCCACAACAAGAGACCAGGACTTGATTTGGATCGCGCGGAAAAAGCTTCAGGCAAGCGCATGCCACATTCACCTACGCCCTGTCAAGCTTTCCGATTCCCGACATGGCCCTGTGGACCCCAACATCCTTTCGACCCTAGCCCTTAAGCCCCAAACGAAACGAAAAAACTAGACCCTGCAAGGCCTAAACCCTATAAACCCCATAAGCCCTATAAACTCGAATCTTACACCTGAACCACAATCCCTACCACACCCCGGAAGCCCGCCAAGAGCACCTCACGTCGCGAGGCCGCAGCAACCTTTGCCGCGCGCCGCGCGGCAAAGGCCCTCCCCCTGGACCTGGGCTGCTTCTGGTCCCAGGAGGCGCGAATCGAAAGCCTGAGCCGGACCCCGACACCGCTTGATGCTGTAACTCCCCATATATTTAAATATCATGTTGAACATACATAATTTTTATGTCATCTTTTATATACTATCAATCACATAGTACACCAAAAAACTATATAATCTAATGTTATATACTCTACATACAGTATACTATAGCCCAAGCTGCCTGGGCGAAGACATAACTCTTCAATTTCAACGAGGAATGGTCACAAGGGTGTCAGGCCCTCTGAGGAAGACACTAAACCCTAAACCCGAAACCCTAACCCCTAACCCCTAAACCTAAATCCTACACAGCACAGCTTGGGAGAGTTCGGGGCCCAAAACGCCCTTTTGTCTCAAGGAAGCTGGAGCCTTATAAGGCCCGATAAAGGCCTGGAGGCCCCTAGGGTTTAGGGTTTAGGGTCTAAGCGTGTCGAGGGCTTAGTCCTTATTATGATTCAAGTATGATTCAAGAAAGGTTCCTTATTCAAAGCCGTTGGGATCCTCTGAGACCCGGGGCCCTAAACCAGAAAAACCTGCTCGATGTTCTGCCGAAGGACCCTGCCAGACCTTTTGTGGAGATGAGTCTTCAGGTGTGCGCGATGGGAGACTTCGCGGGGTTTCGGCATATGGGTGTTTTGCCAGTGTTTAAAGTTGGGATTCTTGAGTTTCGGGTTTCGGGTTTCAGGGTGTCTTGGGCCTAGGGACCTTTTGAGGCAAATGTTTTAGAGGGTGCAAAGCCAGCTCAGCTTCGCATTGTATGGCTTCAGGGTCCTGGGATCAATGCTCGTGCCCCTTGAGGGTTCCCATGACTGACCGACCCTAAGCCCCAATGAGACGTCGAGCTCTCAGAACACTGGGAGTGAGTGAGGGAGGGAGGGTGGGAGTGAGTGAGTGCGTGAGTGAGTGAGTGCGCATGCGTGTGTGCGTGTGCTTGCTTGCGTTGGAGCCTTCGCAAGCAGGCTTCAGTTATTCACCCAGCTGTGCAACCCAACAGCCGCCATGCCATTCCGTTCCGTCGTTCCGTTCTGTTCCGGCCGGGGTCCCGTTCAGGTGCCTCCCCCTTCGGCTCCTCTTACCCCCCCACCTCTAGAGATGGAAACCCAACCTTTCGGCTGTCGGGAATTAATTTCAGTGGTTCTTTCCCATTCGATTCATTGTCTGTACATACCTATGAGTATACGTATATTATATACACATATATATATATATATATATATTTATTTATTTATTTATTTATTTGTTTATGTATGCTCATATATCTGGTGATTTGTATGTTCCCCTTAGGTGGCAAATGTTATAACATGACATCATTCTTAGTAGTCTCATGATTGTCATTATTGGGTATGCTTATAGCAAGTTTTTTTAACTATATGACATGATTATCGGTTTGTATATGAGATGTGCATTAGTTTTCTATGTATGTATATACATATCTATATATATATATATGCTTGTATTGCTTTACTTCTCTATACTGTGCATACGCTTAAAGCAGGTCGGACAGCCCAACCTGGGTGTGGACGGGCGTCTAGCGGCCTTTGGCCGGCGATACCTGCCCAGGGCCCGGCGCAGTGGTTCGAAGGCATTTGGGGTAGGGGTTATGGTTTGCTTAGGATTTGGGGTTTAGGGTTTAGGATTTAGGCGTTTATAGGGGTTAGCAAGAGGGTTCAGGTTTTAGGGTTTGGGTTTAGGGCTTGCGATTTAGATTTAGAGGGCTTCGTGGTTTAGGTTTCTATTACGAGGGAGCCCATTTAGGCAATAAGTTTTCAAGGGCTTGAAGCATGTGTTGGTGGGGGTTGGCTCTGAAGTGTTGCTAGCATCTTTGGCTTTGACATGAGGTTCGGCGCAAAGTCCTTGATGACGTTAAGAATGGGTGCTCACAGGTCCAGCTGCCACGATGCCTGCGCCCTTGTCCCTTGTTTTTAGGGTTCAGGGTACCAGCTTCAAGATTTAGGCTACTTCGGCACCCTTTAATCAATGGTGCCCACGTAGGCAGAGGTGCCCAGTAGCCGATTCCCTTGTTCAGGGGGGGGTTGAAGAACCAAAACTCCTACAAACCCAAAAACCAAGAGCTGGCCTCCCTGTATAGGGGCCCAACACCCTAAGCTGGGATCATAGTATTTCCCAACACGCTGCTGTCATCCCCATACCTTCTTAAGTGTATGTCTGGGCACCATCCCCGTTAAGCCCCCGGCGTTAGCAACCCTCAGCCCTGAACCCTTCACACTGTGACACGGTCAACCTTGCAATGGTGAATGTAATGGTGGCTGAACTTTGGGGTTTTGTGGTTGTGCGAAGCTAATTCCTCCAAGCACCAGCCATGGCTGCGGAGATCTTCAACGATCTGGCAGCACCCGTCGAGGCGAAGGATGAGAGCGGAGAGTGGAAGGTGATCTACCCTACGAAGTCTCTGATGCTCCCTGGTCGCGCGCTGACTCTGCGGCTGAGAGAAGAGCCCACGGTGCTTGACATCTGCGAGCGCGAAAAGCATGGCGTGCTGAAGGCCTCGGAAGATTTCGGACAACTCAGCCTCCGCGGGAAGCAGATGGACGCGGAGGAGCGGAGAGCCACTGAGAGGGAGAAGGTGCGCAGAGAGGAGGCCTGCCAGCGCCAGCTAGAGCAGATCGCCAAAGAGGCCAGGAGGATACGGAACAGACTTGGCATGTCTTGGATTATTATCTTGGAAACCGTCATAAGCCTGCTCCTCCTCATCCTCCTCGTCGCGGCCGTGAGGCTCGACGGGCGTGCCCCGCAGCCGCCGTTCGAAGCCGCGATGGCGGTTCTGTCCATCGGATTGCTGGGCTTCTTCGTCGGGCGCTGCGGCACCAAAACCGCACGCAGCGACGCGACCTTTGGGGACTACGCCTGCTGCGCCCGGGCGGCCTTCAACTGTGAGGGGATTTTGGGCCTCGCCGCCTTGGCCCTCATGACGTGGCAGCATGGTGCGGAGTTCTGGTGGACGTCCCTCACCTTCTGGCCGGTGGCCGGCTGCGGCCTCGGCTGGTGGATCTACAACTGCCGCAGAGGAGCTTTGGGCCATTTGGGAGAGCTGGACCACGACTACGACCGTTTCGAGGAGGAGCAGGCTAGGGATCATGTGAAGAACCGGACCATCCGCTTCGAGGGCCGTGTGATTCCAGAACGAGGACGCCCCTGCGTGGCTTCCTGGCCAGGGAAGTACGAGCCTTGGACGAAATGTACCGTAAAATGGGGGGTCATATACCCTATACTACTATAATTCCTACTAGGGTATATGAACCATAAACCCTTTTAGGGTTCATTTCGTCCCCAAGGAGGGCGCCTGGGAGGCTTTGGTGCGCCGCACGCGGGCCGGGGAGGTGAGCGCCGCCGTTGTCTTCTTGCCGGACGGCACGGCAGACCACGGCTGCCACGCCCGGATCCCGACCGCTGAAGGTCTTTCTCACGATCCCGGTGCTTGCTGGTGCATCCCTCTGTATGGGGAGCCAAAGCCTTGGGGGTGCAGGTGGTGGACCCAGTGGCTTCGAAACGTGGAGATGGCCGTGGAGAGCGGGGCAGAGTTGGAGGTTTATTTCTTTGCAGGCCTTGCTGGCAGAGGAAAGGTGCAAAGCTTCGATTCCGCCGCCCCGGAGCACCTTCGCAGAGAGGAGATCTATGGCAAGCTCAGGGAGTTCAAGGAGTCTCCGCAATTCAAAGCAGCCTCGGCCCAAGGCCTCGACGGCCTCTCCCGCGAGCGTCGCGAGGACAGCAGCTCCCGGCACAGCCGGGAGCTGCACCGCCTCTTCCTTGCCTGGCTCCCGAAAGAAGAGGCCGAGTTCCTGGAAGCCTCCGAAGGCCTCGGAAACTCCCAGAAACTAGGTAGGCCTTTGGGACATTTTCTATTTTCCCTTATGGGGTTCAAGAGGATCAAAATCAGGAATGTTTTTTTCAGAGGGTTTTAAGGGCCAGCTTTGAGGAAAGCTGAAGTGGCCTGGCTGGATCGCAAGGGCTATCAGTACCGGGAGGTGGACGTCTCCATGTGGCTTTCGGATGCCGATGCCGGTCTGGAGGTCCATCAGCCACACGGTGCTGCTGATGACCTTTCAACACCACGCATGCCCATTCCCCATGAGGTGCCGGCTGACATCCAAAGCCTAGATCCCTAGAGTGACGACTAGGGCCAAGGACTGAAGTTTCCAGCAGCAGAATGTTTCACCGGGCCATTGCAGGGTGTTGGTGACTGCAGGTAGGCATCCAACACAGCCCAGCAAGAGCAAGCCCAAAACTGATGGCACGCATGTGAGTCACCCATGGTCATGAACAGCCTACACCTTTGAGCGGGCTTCAAGCCGTCATCTCCCTCAACCCCAAGCCCCAGCATCCCCCCAAGTACCAGCGTCAGGGCGAGGGACAGGGGGCGGAGGATCCTTTCTGTAAGAAATTGCATCCTGCTCTGCCTGAACGAGGTCCTTAAAAAAGGGATCCCAATATTAACCCCCCCCCCCATGTTCTTCTTACGATTGCAGGGGTTCACGCTGCACATTTGGCTCAAGCAGCATTCGGGTGTAGGGCTTAGGCTTATAGGGTATGTAGAGCTCACAGGGTTTACAGTCAGGATTAGGCGGGCTAGGGTTTATGACGGTTTATGTCTTATGCCCATACTACTCTAATCCCTCTTAGGGTATATGAACCATAAACACCCTTAAGCAATTCACTTTGACCCCAATGAAGCCCCCTTGTAGAGCTTGCAGCGGGCTTAGGGTTGGAAAGCCTTCGCAGCGCGCTGTCTGTGAAACTCTGCATATGCCAACAGAGCACCTCGGCTTTGATTGTGAATGTATCTGCAGTCTGAAGCTAGGGTTCAGCGGTTTAGGGGTTTAAGGTTTAAAGCCTAAACCCTAAAACACTAAAACCCTAAAACCCTAAAGCCCTAAACCTTGAAGGGCTTTCAGGGTGAAGGGGCTTACTTCTTTTTGTTTTTTTTTTTGGGGGGGGGGTATGTGGGGCCTTGAGTATGGTTGTTTTTTGTGTTTAGCCGGCTGGAACCAAGCAAGAGGGTTTAGGGTTAGGGTTTCGGGCTTAGGGTTTAGGGGTTAGGGTTTAGGGTTTAGGGTTTAGGGTTAGGGTTTAGGGTTTTGGGTTTAGGGTTTTGGGTTTTGGGTTTTGGGTTTAGGGTTTAGGGTTTGTGGTTTAGGGTTTAGGGTTTGAGGCCATATCCCCATGGTGGTACAGTTGTGTATACACTCAAAAGTGTTAGAGCCGAAACCGCCAAACGCAGAGCTTTAAAGGCGCAAAGAAGCCCTAAACCGGAAGTAAACTACCCTAGGCCCTAAACCTGAAACTATCCTCCGTCCTAAACCCTGAACCCTGAACCCTGAACCCTAAACCCTAAACCCTAAACCCTAAACCCTACACCCCAAACCCTAAACCCTAAACCCTAAACCCTAAACCCTAAACCCTAAACCCTAAACCCTAAACCCTAGCCTACAATAGGCCTACAAGCCTCATCCTCTCAACCTCCGAGGCCCTAAACCTCCACATTCCGAGTCCTAGGCGGACATGAGCATGGCGTTGCTGTTCTGGGGCAACGCCTGCCTCCCAGCATCTTGCAGCTTGGGGAACTTCGGTCTCTGGAGTTTTTTGGGGCTCTTCCTTGGGGCTTCCTTGGGGCTTAGGGTTTTCAAGGTTGAGGGTTTGGCCCCCTAAACCCTAAACCCCAAATCCTACACCCTACGGTTCCAGGGTTTATCAGGGTCTAGGGTTACAAGGTTGTAGGCAGCAACGCCGTGGGGGGGACGCAGAAGGTCGCCTTCTTCGTCTTCACGCCGGTCTGTCTTCTGGCCAGCTGGTTTCAAGGCGAGGCTTAGGGTTTAGGGTTTAGGGTTTGGGGTTTAGGGTTTGGGGTTTCGGGTTTTGGGTTTCGGGTTTTGGGTTTAGGGTTTAGGGTTAGGGTTTAGGGTTTAGGGTTCAGGGTTCAGGGGGGTGTAGGGGGGGGGGGGGAGGGAGTTGGCTGTTCGGGCTCACGGTCTATGGCTTAGGTTTGGTGCTTCATGCGGACCTGACATGTATAAGGCATGTACTGTAAGTGACGCGTGCATAGCAAGTTTAGGGTGCATACCCTACACCCTAAACCCTAAACCTAAACCCTGAACCCTAAAGCCCAAACCCGAAACCCTTACCCTAAACCCTTAACCCTGAAACCCTAAACCCTGAACCCAGGAGGGTTCGCACTTGGGTTTCTGCCGCCTGCCACCCGCCAACCGACCTCGGGGGATCACGTAGCCCATATTATGTAGCTCTTATACACTCTAGCCCAAATGTGAACCCTTATACACCCCTTGTTGTATACGATAGGCCCAAGTACAACACCCTTATACCACCACGGAGTGCGAATTGAGGGCTTGTGTTGCAGACCATGCTGCCCCGCAAGGTAAGGTCATGGAAGCAGAACTCTGGCGTTTGGGGTCCGGGTACGTAGCTGGGTTTAGGGTTTAGGGTTTAGGGTTTAGGGTTATAGCTGGGTAGGCCCCTGGGATACTTCGTATATTTTCCCCCTGCTGGGTCTAAGCCGACCAGATTCAGGAACATTGCTGAAGAGGGCCCAGCCCAGACAAGCAGCTCATATGACATGGCGCGATTCACTGATGTGGTGTGAGATATGACCTGGCGTTTGCATGTTCGTTGTGTACTACACAGATGTGTTTAAACCCTAAACCCTAAACCCTAAACCCTAAACCCTAAACCCTAAACCCTAAACCCTAAACCCTAAACCCTAAACCCTAAACCCTTCGCCGCAGCAGGTGCCCTGTCAGTCAGGGCAGACGCAAGAGGAGCTGCAGGAGCGCTGCAGCAGCTCGATCAGCAGGTTTGGGGTCTAGGGTTTCGGGTTTAGGGTTTGGGGTTTCGGGTTTAGGGTTTAGGGTTTGGGGTTTAGGGGTTTAGGGGTTTAGGGGTTTAGGGGTTTAGGGTTTAGGGGTTTAGGAGTTTAGGGTTTGGGGTTTGGGGTTTAGGGTTTAGGGTTTAGGGTGTAGGGTTTAGGGTTTAGGGGTTTAGAGGTTTAGGGGTTTAGGGGTTTAGGGATTTAGGGGTTTAGGGTTTAGGGTTTAGGGGTCTGCTGATGCAGTGAGTTTGGGCTTTAAGCTTCGGGTTCCTGGGTCCAGCGTATAGTTGTAAGTTGTGTACCTCTCAATCAAAGGAACCCTGAAACCCTTAGAGCCTTAGACCTTGTAGAACACCCTTAACACACTACACCCTGAGTACTCTCCCCCCACACCCCAGACCCCAGACCCCAGACCCCAAACCCCAAACCCCAAACCCCAAACCCTACTTGACTTTAGGCCCCTTTTGTTCGTAGAGACCCAGTGCAAGCGAGGTTCCGGGCTGGGTCTGCGGATCCACCCCGTGCGCACGCGGCCTGCGGAGTCGTTCAGGGCACTTGGGAAGAGCCACTCGGGCCGCACGACGGTTTACGGTTTAGGGTTTTGGGTTTTGGGCTTTAGGGTTTAGGGTTTAGGGTTTAGGGTGGAGGGGGGGTGTGTAAGGGGGTTGAGGGCTGTAGGTGGTTTGGTCAAATCGATCTGTATGTCTATTGAGCCATAAATCGTAGTTCAGGGCTTGAGGCTGTTTGGGTTGTAGGTGCAAAGACTTCTATAGACCCAGGATGCTTAGTACCTTTTGTTCGAGCGGCTTGTGTTTTCTCCAGGTTACTCGGGAACAGCAGCAGACCCCAAACATTCCAGGATTTAGGGTTTAGTGTTCAGGGTTTAGGCAACCCTACAGCCTAAACACTGCTGAGGCTGAAACCTTAGCTTCAAACTCTTGGTAAGCCCTGGGTAACCGAGCAGGGGCAACGTGGCCGCCTACCGCGGGCTGCCTTATGGCGCAGCGCCTGTCGGGTCACGCAGGCCCAGAGGGCCTGGAATAGGAATTGGGGTTTAGGGTTTAGGGTTTAGGAATGTACGGTGTAGTGTGGCGGGGTGTTTTAGGACGCCCGTTAGACGCTAAAACCCTCACCCAAATTTCTGGGAGCCTAAACCCCAGTCTTTTCAAGAATGAACATATGTGTTGGCTTTTCCATTGCCCATGGCTTCTGCGTGTCCCCAAAGTTTGCCCATGTGTGTTATCCCGTGTAGCCCGCTGCCCTAAAAGCAAGACAATGGCAGCCTGACGACCCCACCCTCAGCAATGGTTGAGTAGGGCTTAGGGTGTAGGATTTCGGGGTTTAGCCCTAAACTCTAAACCGGGAATGCTGGAGGGGTTTTTCCTCCCCTCTCAAGTTCAAGAGAGGACTTGTAAACTGAAGGGCCGCCTTGCAGGGGGGACGTCATGCCTCTTGACTCCCCAAAGAGCCCAATATTGCTTAATTAAGGAATATTCCTTAAATCATATTCAGGACCCCTATATGATTTAAGGTATATTGCTTAATTAAGCAATATTGGGCTCTTTGGGTCACTACTCAGAAGCAATAAATTGCAAGCTTCGGGTTAGGGTTTTGGGGTTAAAGGTTTGAGGGCTTGGCTTTTGGTAGAAGTAGCGAGGGGCTCCATGGGCATACCCTGTTTTTTGTTTTTTTGTCTTGGGGGAGGAGGGCGGTGTAGGGTTGAACCCTGAGCCCTAAACCCAGAACCCTCAGCCCGAAACCCTAAACCCGAAACCCGAAACCCTAAACCCTAACCCTAGACCCTAGACCCTAGACCCTAAACCCTAAACCCTAAACCCTTCCTTTTTATGGAGGGAGGGGGTGGGGGGGGGGGGGGACCGCTGCCTCTGAGCCCATTCTGAGCAGGTTCAAGCCGGCCGACCCGGCCCCCTGTTGGTCGCAAGGCTCCTTTCTTTGGAGTTTAAGGTGGGCGTGGGTTGTTTGGGGTTCGGGGTTTAGGGTTTAGGGTTTAGGGTTTAGGGTTTAGGGCTTAGGGTTTAGGGTTTAGGGTTTAGGGATTAGGCTCCAGTGTTGGCTTGGTTGCTTGGTTGTGTTTTTGTGAGTCAGGTCAGCACTGCACTGCTAGAATTCAGTCCTTGGCTCCAGAAGCCCCACACCCAAGCATTCGAAATTCAGCAGAAAAGGAAGCTCCCGCGCCCGAGAAGCAAAAGACATCGCAGTTCCCCGCAGGGCTACCCTGAAGCCTTAAACCTCAAACCCCAACACGATTTGCTACTAGAAGCTCCC